TACTGTAAATAAAATGCACTATATTAATTTTATTTTATATATAATAAATATTTTACATATCAGGTTTTACTCTAAAATTGGTATAAAATTATAGCCTTATGTCTAAATAAGTTATGTTCCAAATTTGAAGTTGAGAAAAAAATTGAGGTTCCTGTGAGATTTTATTTAGGGCGTTATACCACAAACAGCCACCGGGTGCCATCCAAACTCCATTGAATTTTTTAATGCATTTTTCTTTCGCAAATGACTAGATTTCTCTGTCAATATTACTTCTATCTCAAAAAAATCCTGAGACTCAGACCTTTCCAATGATATGTTTTTTGTCAAGATTATAAAAAGTTTTGATTCTAAAAGACTTTTTCTTACATCATTTTGTAATATGACACTTGACACTGCCCACTAAGGGGGAGGAGACCGCCAAAAGATTTTAAAGTACCATTTCCATGGTAAGGCAATATCTGATTTCGAAATGGTTTTCACAGGATGAATCTTGGGCTTCTAAGCTTTCAAATGATATATGATTTATGATGATTACTAAAAGATTTGATAGAGAAAAAAGACAACAAAAAAAAGGGCGCCAAACGTCCCACGCGGTGACAGTTAAGACAAAACTCCCCAAAAAGATAAATAATATCTCTTATGTTTCTGTATTCACATCCATATTGTCATCTGCCCCAAAACCATTTTTAAGCAGCAAACTTTGGATGAATCTTCTGGGAAATGTGCCAACAGTGTGTCATGAGTGTGCTGCATCATATATCAAATCTTTATTTCTTTTTAATTGCTATAGAAATGAGATGAAATAGAAGTGAAATATCCATTAAACCAAATGGATATTTCATTGTAATGAACATATCCCCAGGCTGCTTCCAGGCACCTGTTTTGAGTGCCGAGATGATGTTCATTTTAACCGTGCATCTGTACAAATATTGCCACGGGTGCTGCATGCAACATGCCACAACTATTACTGCAAATGACATGCTCCTTCCATGTCATGTATGGATATCAGGTCATTTTAACATGGTCAATTTTAAACTCCTTGATTCTGTTTTTTCCAGGTGACCTTACAAGAATAGCTGCGTTATAGTGAGTAATGGTAAGTATTTGTCAGTTGAGCTGTGACTGATGCAATACAACAGTGTTTGATGGTTCAAACGAAGGTTTTCTCTTTGTCTCATCGCAGGGAGATTGAGCGACTCTGAAGCACTGTGCAACCAGACCTGAGCTGGAACATACCACACTTCTGACAACATCAACAATACTGTGGTACACAACCCGATCTATAAATATAGAAATATATTTTTAGAATCTACAAGATGTTTTAAGACAATACTGTGAACCGACTTTGGAAATTACAAATAATGGAACTGTCTACAACACCGCCAGTGCCATAAATCCAGTGATTATGAGATTATTTCCTTGGTGTTAATGTGTTCGGTTTGGTTTATTTCTGTGTGTATCTGTTCAAACTTGTACTGTATTTAAATATCTGTTGGGTAAAGTGGGGGGGTGATCTTTAATGAAGCTGCTATCTTTACAAATGGCATCTTTTATTGTGCATTAAGAGCAGAATAGCCTGACCTGATGCTCCTTTAAAGCATATCAAATAGTAGGATTATGTTGTAGCTTCAGTTTCTCTTTGAGAGTGGAATGATTTGAGATTTTCCCATAGTGTTTGATACACAAATACACTGCCTTAGCTTATCAGACTCCGTTTATTTTAATAGCTGGATAGGTGTGAGTACTTGGTTGCAATTTATTCATTTTTAAAGGCAAGGCATGACTACTGAAACTAAGGTCTGTCTCCAGAATCACACCAAGATTCCTGACTTGATTTTTAGTTGTTAGACCCCTAGAGTCAAGGTATGCATTCACCTTGAGAACCTCATCTTTGTTTCCAAATGCAATGACTTCAGTTTTTTCCTCGTTTAACTGAAGAAAGTTCTGGCACATTTTAAAGACATTTTAATGAATACAGGCGAATCTTGTATGTCACCACGTCACATTTAATATTATATAACTTTATTTTGAACAAATTCCTAAAACTAAACATGCAGTATGTTTTGCATGAAGAGAATAAGGCCTATTTTTAGGATATTTGTCATAGTCACATTATTTTCATGACAATTAAGCACAATGTTGTAATATGTTTTTATTTAAAGGGGTCATATGATGCGATTTCAATTTTTCCTTTAACCGCATAAACACATTTCATTACACCAAATACACAAAATAATGTTCTTTTTAGCAACATCATATGACCCCTTTAAATCAGCCAAAATTAAAGGTAGTAATAACAGATGATGTGTATATACAGTATATACATGAATATATGTATATATTGTATATAACATATACAGGTGCATCTCAATAAATTAGAATGTCATGGAAAAGTTCATTTATTTCAGTAATTCAACTCAAATTGTGAAACTCGTGTATTAAATAAATTCAATGCACACAGACTGAAGTAGTTTAA